ACTACTTTTTCAAATTTTAATTAAAACTAGTTCTCTTCAGATTTAAAGTACTCGCTAAGGTATGTTTGAAAACATAATGAACTTCTTTTTGTTATTCCTGTTTTAGGAATTTTAGGTTAATGGAATCAACTATACCAATTTGAATTAAGCCACATTACTTTATCCTGGGCAAAACACGATTTTTCAGGCTGCAGTACGCGAAGCTCCATTTTGTACAGATTTCTTTTTTCCCCTCCGATCGCAACAACTTTACCATTGTTTAAAAATTCAAAATTTTGTCCTACATTTTTAATGACAAAATCCAAACCCCTTTCGGATGCAACTTACACGGAAAACAAATTGTGTTTCATCTCCGGTGTGAATAAAACGTCTTTTAAAATTTCTGGAAGCCACTTATTATCAACGAAGTCTGTATTTTCTACAAAGCAAATAGTGTATGTTTTTAGTGTTAAAACTACACCTACAAAGGGATGAAACAGAATGTTAAACTTTTTATCGAAAAAACTCTCTCTGAAAACTTCTGAAAAAGGGTTCTTTAAAAATAAAATTTTAACTATCTTAACCTCACTTTTTATAGTGACAAATTTAGTTCCTTAATATGTAAAGCCTTTTTCACATTTAAAGCGCGGTTTACACAATCATGGCCTACTGTTATGCCAATTTCAATGAAATGGATTATACAAGGTCATCAGTATTATTAAATAGACATAAAAAAATGTCAAATGTCAAAAATTAAATGTCAAAATTTTTTGACAGATAGAATTTTTTAAACATTTTTTTAGTACTCTGGGGACTACCCAATTACTCCTTTTCAAGGAAATGCGCGATTTTTTAAACACCCTGTATGTATTACCAAAAAAAATTCTTTTTAATTCTAATGGAATCGAGGTATTTATAAGTTTAATGACGTAGAAGAAAAATTTCAAGTAAGATAAGATACCAGAAACATAGAAAAAATTATTAATAAATTCTATCTGTCAAAAAATTTTTACATTTATTTTTTGACATTTGACATTTTTTATGTCTATTTAATGATACTGATGATTTTGTATATGTTTTTTTACAATTATTTAGTAAAGGTACAAAACTTTTGCCAACAAAAGCCGCAAATATAATTATACCGAATTACAGTTTAGGATACAGCTTCCTTGTTTCTGTTTCTAATAGCCTGTAGCAAAAAAACGTGGAAAATTATTTATCCTACAGAAATAAATAGTCAAAGTGAAAAATTTAAACTCTCATAACTTCGAAATTTTTATAGATAGAATTTTTTTTTAATTTTTTCCATGTTCCTGGTACCTTACCTTATATGGCATTTTTCTCTGGGGCGCAAGTTCTGGCGCACTCTGTATGTGCATATCATGTAGAATGTGACTCCTTCAACTTTTAGAATCGCGATATCTCAGAAATGGTGATTCTTAGAAAAAAAGTATAAGGACCATTTTTGTAGATAATGTTAAGATCTATAATTTTTTTTTCTGGGCTACTTTTTTGATAAAACTTACGAATAACTTTTTTAGCACACATGGGATCGATAGGGACTTTTGACATTTTATTCCTAATGGTGTACCCAAGAGCTTCACCAAAATTTAGCTCTGTCGAAATTTTTGTTATTTGAAATGTCTATTTTGACCGGACTAAGTAGGATAGAGAAGCCATTACAATAAGACCGCGAAAATCTGCACTGAAAGAGCGTTAGGCCGAGTTAGTGTAAGAGCGCGATTATAGTAAAACCTCTGTCCTACGTTACGTACAAAAATTTATCTACGACTGCCTAAATTGAAAAATAATTCATTATTTGTTTGAAATTTTTATAACATTTTAAATTAGATATTTTTTGACAATCAATAATTTTTCATCAAAATCAAACTTCAAACCAATTGCCATTCTCTGGAATAAGCTTTTTCTATTTCGGTGTTAGAATAAGTCTATTCCAGCACCCAAATGACGTCATTTGAGTGCTGGAATAAGTCGTTGGCTTTAATTTAATTTTAGTGACAGATTTTCTTCACAATTCATTTCCAAATGTGAAAATAAGAATTATTTTTATTTTTTACAGCCGCCTAAAATTATTCAACATAAATGTCGCCAACCGTCACAAAATTCTCTAGAAAGAAAAATTATAAAAATTTTCGTTTTTTAATTTATAAAATGATATAAAGCGGCAAAATAGAAAAAATAGTATAAAGCACTTGCTGCAGAAGGTTCTTCAAGCACTCATTTCAAATTTGTGCTTGAATAGATATGTTCTGCAACTTGTACTTTAATATACTATTCTCAAAATGCAAACATGTTGTTTTAATGTTTATAATAAATAATACAAGTAGATAGCTTTTATTATTATTTAAAAAAAATAAAATTTTGTTCATAAATTGTCTAGAAAAAAATGAGTTTGGTAATGAGAATGAGTGAGATAAGTGACAGTTATCCCACAATCTAGATAAAGAAATAAACAACTACTTTAATCTTGAGAATGTAGGTAATGCCAAAGGCGATCCAAGGAAGCCGAGGGCATTTACTTCCAGAGATTTTAAAGATGTTTATTCCAGAGATGCACACAAAAGTTTTCTTCCAACAGAATAAAATAATAGGAACATAAGAAAATAATAAATTTGTCAAATAATGTGAAATAATTTGTCAAAATATTCAATTCATTTAATTGCAAATTTTAAGAGTAAAAATCGGTATTAAGAAGTTTGTTTAGGTCAAAAACATTCAAAAGTACCAGATTATTACTTACTTTTTTTCCTTTTTGAAAGAAAAATAAATTTTACACAAACAGTTTGTCAAAACTAAACATTCAGATTAATAATAATAGAGCAAGAGCCCGCGGCCGCCAGACCTTTTATTCATTTTATGAAAGTTGAAAATTTGTCAGCGCATACTTCCAAAACAGGTAGGAACGATGGGCAAGTATGAAATTTGGGTCATCGTGGCTTTGGGTAGCAAACTTCATACTTGCCCATTGTTCCTACCTGTTTTGAAAGTATGCGCTGAGAAATTTTCAACTTTTATAATAAAATGACGAAGGTTTGGCGACCGAGACTCTTGCTCTAATATGATTAATACCGCGTATTATGTAAATAGACCAAAATCTCTTCGGTGGTGGTTCCTACGTGTATGATTAAGTATTAATTAATATTAAGGTACAAATGTCTGTTTTTATTCGGGTACCTGCTGATTGGGTTTAAAATCGAGAGAACTTTAATTATTTGTTATCAATAAATCTGTCAGTGCTAACTATGGCTTAATTATTTTTAGTTCTTTGTTGTGAAACATTTCAAACAAATAGTTTTATTTCTTATACGTAAATTATGATCACCCCATTTGCATCGTCCCTGATCACATCTTTCAACATTGATAATTCGCACATGGACGACAACATGGTCATAAGTCACAAAAACTGATTTTCAAAATTTTTAAAGCATTAATAAGTGTAAAATTACTCATAGTTTATGTTGGAACAATGACATAAAAATATTTTTGAAATTGGCCTCTAAATGGTGAAAATAGTTTGCCAAATATAAATATAGGAATTTTATTATGCAAAAAATCTTTGAAAGACAATCTCGAAATTAAGATTTTAGTATTTAAGACTCTGTTGTTGCCGATGTGCGAATTGTCAAAGTTACTCGTATTGTAACTTGATTCCATCTTTTTGAGGTATTTTTTTTTCTTTTTATTGGTCGCATTCAAAAAGTTGTAACTTGCTTCAACATTTAAAAAAGACAATACATTTTATCGTTAACACTCTTGCTTTAAGGAAAAATTTCTTAAAAGATTTTGGCCCATTTACATAACACCCTCTATGCAACACTGATCAAGGTTTGTCATAGATTATTTTAAAATTTTCGCACAATACGTATGAAGCATTAAATTCTTGACTTTTAGTTTCCTTACTTCAGAAACATAATAAATTCACATACATGTGTGTAGCAAAATTAAACAGCAATGTTTTCATCTTGAACATAAAAGTAGATGAGTTCATTGGCATAATTCCGGATGGAAAAACTAAAAGCAGAGATTGGTTACATCCGGTTTTCCACCGTCGTGAAAATTTAAGTAGGGTTGGGCGATAACACTAATAAATCTAAAATAAATGTAATTTATTTAAATACAAATGCAGACTAAATTATGAATGATTGTATTAATTCTAAAATCAAACAGATATTGACCACACCACATTTACCGCGGTAATTAAACTCGTATTAATTAAAATCTCATTTAACATTACATGACATTTTTAAAGTTGTGGAAGATTCAAACAATGTTGCTGCAGCGCAAACCCCACTCTTATGGAATTTATTTTAATTAATTTTGCTTCCTCTTTTTAAAGTTTTTACACCGCTTGATAAGTTATACCGCAGAAGATAAAACAAAAAGTATTCAACCAACCACCAATCTAATTGTTGGATCCTCTTTGCGGTTTTCTACTAAGAAATAAAAGTGGAGCAATAAACTTGAAGAAAAGGTCTATAACAATTCCATTAATTTTATTTGTCTTGTAGTAATAAAAATTTACATAGTTTTTCAACTACGAGATTGTAAAACTACCGAAATTAATTAATCCAAATTTAGAACTTGTATGAAGCGGAAATAAAAAGCTGCCATGTCCGTCTTGAATTTTTTATGAAACAGGAGGGTAAAACGTTTTGGCTGTGATGCATATTAATGAACGAGACGACATTTTTGCTCTCGATAAGTGCTAGAATTAAATTTTAAGTTTCGCTTGTGTTGTGGTTTATTTTTAGTTACTTTCGCAAAACGGATTTTAAGAATGATTAATATTGCTTTGACAACAAAAAGAATGTAAAGCATTCTTTTCAAAATATTTATACCTGACAGAAATAAACACGTGCCTGTCCTCCTTTGCATGTACTCAAAAATAATTCGCTTGTTTACTCGCAGATATGTGATAAAATGTATTCCCAAGTGCACAGTTAGAAAATTAGTAAATAATTAAAGTTAAGTTAAAAACTTTGCAGTGGTGAAAGACTGACCGTTTTAAATCCTCGATACATGATTCTAATTTCCTGTCGTGTGAATTTGGTGAGCCTGCAGAGGTCCTCTAGGGCAACCGGCACGGGCTTGGGCACCCTGGACGGCTCTATCTCGAAAACGACCTCCTCGATAGGGCTGTCTGACGGCGTTGCCATGTCTTCCTTTATTCGTCGTGGACTCGTGGAAGACACATGTTAGCATTCTCTTGCAACCGCACCAACTATTCTATCATCTGCTGTATTCGAATTTATTCCGGTCCATCTCTCCCTCTCTCTCTATTAATAGAGGCCTAAACTATCGAGCGATGATTTCTCGGTCTTTATTACCATCACATATTTCATCTAACTAACGCATCACTTAATTATTGGTGTTGGATGTGGACGTTGTGTGTGGCGATGGAAACGGTTACGGAGCCACCGGTTTCGTGGTAGGCATTTCCCGGATTCGCCCGGACTAGAACTGGTCCTGTATCTGAGCTGCAGACTGCGCCTTGCTTGCGCACGCCCTGCTATCCTGACAGTACGAAAGGAAAACGTGCGGAGGCATACTAGGTAAATGCAGGGATGACTGCGGACGCGGAAGCAGTAGAGCTCCGGGTTTGAATCTGGAATTGGTAAATACAAAATTTAGCGTCTGGCAGAACCGAATTTTTTTAACATTGACATACACATAGAAAGTTAAAACAGCTAAAACACTTTCAAAAACTTAAAATTCATTCTTGCAAAACTAGATCCAGTAGGAATATGTAATTTATTAATAGTAATAAATAAAAGAATTTTATCCACAATCACTCTATAATAGTTATTTATTCGACGAGTTTGAGTGTAAATCGGAACGATTCACAGGGCGACAAAAAAAAGTCATGTTGTGACAACTTGACAAATTTTATATCATTTTGTTCGTCTCAGTGAGACAAATCAAATGCACTAAAAGAATTTCAAAAAGTCCACACACTTTAAACTAATTAATTTTTTTCTAATTTAAATGAATTTAAAATTCTTTAACTTTAAAAAATCATTACTTAATAACTATTAGGCCGATTTCTTTCAAATAAAGACCATTCTAAGGGATGGCCTTGCCCTTTAGGATGATATGAAATTTGAACAGTGTTCGAAGAAGTTCGAAGTAAATCGAAATAATCTAAAAAAAACCCTACGAGTATTTTTTTTTCTTCGTCACCATCGTGTAGAGCATCTCTTTATAACAGAAAACACTTCACAGTCGTTCATACTTGTATAGAAATTTTCTCAAAATAAATATTTTATAGGTAAAAGAATTTTTTAATAGTATATCTATGAATTTTTATGTAAATTTTATGAATTAAAAATTTTATTTTTATTTATTTTGAATAAGTAATACTCCTTATCTAAATTTCTATTAAAGATATCTGTAAATTAATGTTTAACAATTTTATTGTTGTGGGTTAGTTAGATAATTCGTTTTATCTCTGGCATTATGCTAAATACCTACTTTAGACACAGCTCCTGGGTAGATATTTGATGTTTAGGTCAATATTTTTTTGTGAAGCAAACACATGAGATTAATGTGTTTATCTAAAATTATTATAGAAACCTTTCCAATTAAGGTAGGGTTAATAGGTACTTGATGTATTAGTTAAAAAGTTTACAAAACTGATACTTTATATTTTTAAAACTTTTTTTTGTATTGTTCAAAGTGTTACATTTAGCATTAAAATTAGAAAGAGTCGCGTTACATGATACAAGATAATATGTATTCGAATATTTCAAAAAATGTACAGTGAGGTGTTTCACAAATTATAACCACGCGGGTATAATTTATAAAAACCAGTAAGAGAACAACAAACAAACAGTAAGCATTTTCCCGTCATATTTTTATGTTTTCTAGAGTTGTTTAAATTTATCTGTGATGTTTGACATTATGTATTCATTGTAGGTAAACGGTAAACTCTATAATATAAAGCATGATTTATAGATAAGGTTTTTTAAAAAAACACTTGTTTATTTTTAGAACAGTCAAATAACATGTATTATTGCAAATACACTATTGAAAATCGACACATGTTTAACAAACTCATCATCTGAAAAAATAATAAACTGAAAGTCATTCATTACTAGTTATATCCACGTTACACTATTTTTAACACATTTATTGTTTGTATTCATTCAGTCAATTAATTGGATATTACGAGTATTAGGCAATAAATATTCGTAAACCTTGTGCCATTTCAATCGTCTTGTTGGCAATCTCGCAACTGCGTTTTTTGTTTTTTTGATGTGAAATGGATCAAAAACATTTGATTTGTGTGTAAAAGAAGAACAAAACAATGTAAAAATTAAAAAAATTGCTTCATATACTTCTGAAGTAGAGATTTTATTTTATACCGGGTGAATAAAAAAAAAAGTAGTTGAATAAACTAATTACTTTACGAAAAAAATAATTAACGCAATGTAGAGTACTATCTATAAAAATGTGGTCGTTTTTGAAGAAAAATTTTTTTCGAAATTCCTTTAAGTTTTCGAGTTTAGCAAAAAAAAATTTTTAATGGCAGTCTACTATGACTATTTTTTTAATTAAACACTATGAACTAAAAATTACCTCTAATTAAATAAAATTGTTTTTTATCAAGTAGTTTTTTAAATAGATTCTTAAAGTTGCCTTCCGAGCTCATCACGAAGATTTTCCGAACTTAACCGATGTAGTCGTTTGGACGAAGAGACCACGGTTTTTTCTGCAGGTATGTAAAGTCTGTTTTTTTTTTTAATGAAAATGCCAAACAGTTTTAACGTTGGCACCACTAGTAAATTCATTCCTGGTAATTTTAATAAAAGAAGTTGGTAGTTTTGGTTTTTTGAATTAATTTGAAAACAATGTCATTAGACGTCAACACAAAAAATCGTCTAAGAAAATTTATAGACGAAACACCAAAAATGGAACAAATTCGGTACCGGTAACAGTTTTTAGAAATTCGGCAACGAATAGTTCGCAAGCAGGAAGTTAGAACAAGGACCCGTTAAAATATAGACGCAATTTGTAATGCAGGTTTGCTAAACATTCTCAATTTTTAGTAAAAATTGACAAAAATACAAAATAAACATGAATGAGAAAGAACCTCGGAAAGAACGCAATTAAATTAGTATATTGTGCATCGTTTTTGAGGAACGAGTTGGAAAAGTAACAATTTTGAAACTAAAGTGAAGAAGCATTTAAAAAATGCATCAACTTTGAGCTCATTTCAATAAATTACACAAAATTTATTGCCAATCATCATAATACCTACTTGTATCTTTTGCTAAATAATCCTTTTTCTTCAAAGTTTTTGTAGCAAGATCCTCAATTTCGTTCACAAAATTGTAGTTATTTGCAGTGTGTTTCTATCAAAGTTATTAGCACTGAATTCTGTCTTAGACCTTAGGTAATGATGTCTGTCCTCAGGTGTTCAATTATAGTGCTTTCAAAGAGCAAACAGGCACACAAGATTAATAAAAGTCACAATTTTGACAACATCTGAATTTGAAAACATAACCATAATTTTTTAACAAAATTTCTAGGGACAAAAACAAAGAGCAAACAAAATTTGTGACTATGGAGACAAGCTGCTACCAATTTTTTTACCAAAATTTTGACTTGGTAATTTCCATTAAAAAAAAAACTAACAACATACCTGGTTTCGGAGGGATCAAAAAATCAAATAAGAACTCACTTTTTTCCATTTTTAATACGTCCCAAACCACCCCTAAGTACCTGCACAAAAAAACAGACCTGTTCGCTGTTCTATGACCAACTACATGAAACGAGCACTTCTGTTAAGTTCGGAAAATCTTCGTGATGAGGTCGGAAGTCATCTTAACAATTTATTAAAAAAAAACTGCTGATTAAATAACAATTTTATTTAATTAAAGAACATTTTTGATCATAATCTTTCATTAAAAAAATTGTCATGGTAGGTTGCCATTTAAAAAAAAAACTTTATTTTTAAAAAACGATTACATTTTTATAGTACTTTAAACAATACAAATTATTTTATCCGTAAATTAAATAGATTATGTAAAAAGTGCTTGGTTTCAATGTTCCATACTTTTTATTCACCTGGTATAACGAACAAAAACACGATTAGCCCGTCACACCAAACTTTTATTTAAAATACAACGCGTTTCAACCACAAAGTGGTCATCCTCAGGTGAGAATAAAAGTTTGGTGTGACGGGCTAATCGTGTGTTTGTACATCGTTTCCATACCAAAAAGATCCAAGAAGAAAAAAAAAACACCTGGTATAAATTTTTATTTTTAGATGGATATAGACAACCAACAATACACATAATTAAGAGTTGACAGAACAAGTAAACATAACCTCAACATACAAATTTGTCAAAATATACACGTGTTCTCATTATTTTTCAAGAAAAATGGCAGAAGACGGTGAGGAAAAGCCAAGAAATTTTCACGAAATGGAACTAGATGACCGCATTTTGAAGGTAGTAAGAACCGTGCAACTTATAGAAATTTTCAAGTGTTTTTTAGGCCATAGCAAAACTAGGATGGCAAACTCCTACACTCATCCAAGAACGTGCAATCCCCCTTCTTCTCGAAGGCAAAGACGTCCTCGTGAGAGCTCGGACAGGTTCTGGGAAAACAGCAGCATTTGCTATCCCTGTCATCCAGAAAATTTTGACCATCAAGCAAACCGCTAAACACCAAGAAATTAAAGCATTAATTCTAGCACCGAGTAGAGAATTGTGTCACCAGATGTGTGGAGTTATTAAAGAGTTAACAATTAAGTGTTCACGTGAGGTCAGGTGTGTTGATGTGGCCCCCCCAGTTGAGCTAAGTGTGCAGAAGCCTTTGCTAGTGGAACAGCCTGATATCGTCGTGGGGACTCCCACAAGGGTGCTGAAACACATCAAAGCTGGGTACATGGATTTGAAGAAGAGCATGGAGCTGTTGGTAATAGACGAAGCGGATTTAGTTTTTTCTTTTGGTTATGAAAGTGAAGTGAGGGAGTTGATGGAGTATGTTTTTATTTGTGAGAGAATTTTGGATTAATTTTATTATTATAGGCGTTTGCCAAGTATTTATCAGGCCATTTTGGCCTCAGCTACTTTAAGTGAAGATGTAAAAAATTTGAAAAGTTTGGTGTTGCATAATCCTGTAATTTTAAAACTTGAAGAACCTGAAATTGCCCCTGCAAGCCAACTCAGTCATTACCATTTAATGGCTGAAGAAATGGACAAAGCAACTATTTTATATGCCCTTTTAAAATTGCATTTAATCAGAGGGAAAAGTATAATTTTTGTTAATACCGTTGACAAGTGTTACAAGTAAGTCTTAAAATGTTTCAAATTTTCCCATCATAACTGTTTTATTTAGGATTAAATTATATTTGGAACAATTTGGGATTCCAATTTGTGTTCTAAATTCTGAACTTCCGGCAAAAATAAGGTGTCATTCAGTGAATCAATTCAATCAGGGCATTTATGACACTATAGTAGCCTCAGATGAAAAGGCGTTAGAACAACCGGGAAATCCAAACGATAAAAACAACTCAGAATTACAAAAATCTAAAAGAAAGAAGGACAAAGAAAGTGGTGTTTCTAGAGGAATTGATTTCCAGTGTGTTGCAAATGTTATCAATTTTGATTTTCCACTTGATGTGCAGTCTTATGTGCATAGAGCGGGAAGGACAGCTAGGGGAAACAACCAAGTAATTTCTCACATTTTGTTTTAATTTAATCTCAATTGGTTTTATTTTATAGGGTAGTGTTTTGTCGTTTGTGAGTATACGAGAAAAACCTCTGTTGGAAAAAGTCGAAAATCACTTTAAAAATGACCAAGATGATGTTTCAATTTTTAAGTAAGATTTTTTTTTTATTATTTATGATGAAATAAATGTGATTTAGGTCTTACCAATTCAAATTAGACGAAATCGAATCTTTTAAATATAGAGCAAAAGACGCTTGGCGTGCTGTAACAAGAATTGCGGTGCGTGAAGCAAGGCTGAAGGAAATCAAACAAGAAATATTTAATTGCCAAAAATTGAAAAGTTACTTTGAGGACAATCCAACAGATCTTCAAGTGTTAAGGCACGATAAAGCCTTACATACGGTTAAAATTCAACAGCATTTATCTGATGTTCCTGAATATATTGTTCCACCGACTTTGAAGGGAATTGCTGGTTTAGGGAGGAAGAAGAGAAAACGTGAAAATTATAGGACATCGCAAGGGTCGAGTAGTAGGTTTGAGGTAATATAAAGAAAGGGGAAAAATAATGGTTTACTTCATTTATTTGTTTGTGTAGGCCAAGAAAAACAATCCTTTATTAAGCATGGACTTTGAAGGTTTTAACAGTAAGAAAAAAAAGAAGAAGAACAACAACTAATAAATAACTCATTTATTAAATTTCTAATAAATAAACTTCTTATTCCATAAAATTTATTATTTTTTTAAAAACAGTTTTTGTGATTTTTTTCCTTAAACAACTTACAAAGTCGATAAATGACATCATACAAACTATCTGTGTTTCATACTGATTGTGTTTATTATCTACTCGGTTCGTAAAAATAAACACATTTTTGCTTTTAGATCGAATAAAATGCAATAAAAAATACAGTTAGGGGGTATTTCAAGGGAGCATGCGTTCGATTGCTCAACAAAATAATTCACTATAATGTTAGCACGTTAATTGTCCTACAAAAGATTTATTGTCATTAATAATTAATTATTATTTCAATAAAACATTATGTATCGGTATTTTACAAAGTTAACACATTTTACTCTCTGTAACAGCTATTTATGTACAAAGTACGCAAAATAGGGTTTTAGGGGACGAATCGTAATTAATGACGAGGCGACGTAGGAGCCGAGTCTTTAATGAAAGGAGTTACCTAAAACCTTTTGCGTACGTGGTGCATACAAGATTTTTTTGTTAAAGCTTCCAAAACACGAATTCACACCTCTTACTTATTTAAATAATTTTGTTTCCATAGTAAAAAGACTCATTTGAGTCCCTAAAACAGCTAGTTCGGGAGCGTATACAAAAAAAAGAAGTTAAAATGTCAAGACATTTCGGACCATTTTTAAGGTATTTTTAAAAAAGTTAAAATGTGCCTTCAGCAAGAAAATCTTCAAAACTATCAATTTCTCTTGATGTCCCAGTTTCACCATTAAATCTAGCAGCGTATTTTCCCTTTTCTATGGGGGAAGTAAAGTTTTTACCCCTGAGATGTTATACAATATTGTTATTGTAATTTTAACATAATTGGTCATTTTCCTTTTTAAAATTAAAATGGGAAAATTTACTTTTTGATAAGAGCGTAGGAAAAATCTATTTTCTATGCCCACATAAAAGAAACTATGAACACTTTAATTTAATTTTGTCAGTATTGAATAAACTAATACACGTGATTTTAAATTTTCCAGTGCCGTTGTGAATCCAATTTTATGGTCTTCGGTATCAAAATTGATTGTTACATGAGCGGAATTGTCTAAAGCAATTTTAACAGTTTTTTCATCAACCTACTGTTTGCGACGGCGGGCAAAAAGAAAGGAGTTACCTATTGTTAGCCTCTTCTATATTTGGCATTTATTGTCCTTCTAACTTCTACGCCATTGTTTATAGAAACATCAACTTTCCTCACAAATATAATTTTACACTTCTTTAAACTCAACTGGAATCGCCACAATTCTTTAATCAGGCGAGCATCTACTCAAGCGTTTTTCTTCTATTTATTGTCTGTAACTGATAGTTACAGTTTTAAAACAAATTGTAATACTACTGTAATATATCCTTACAGAAAAGTTGAAGGAAATGTGAAATGCCTTGACATTTTAACTTTTTTTTAATACCTTCAAAACTGGAAAAAAAAAACCTTAAAATTTAACAATTCATTCTTAACAGGCTCATATAGTAGTGATGTTCTTATGTGGACGTATTTCCAAAGTTTTATTGCGTTAATTTATAAATAATTTGTTTTCTAGTAAACAGCGATATTCAGGTGTGAACAAGTTCTGGAACATTTATCTAGTTTATTAAGTTTATGATTTATATAATTATGGGGACTAAATGCGTATTTTATACTAGCAATAAATCTTACATATCTAATAACAGTAAAGCTGTAGTATTGATTTTTTTTTTGAAACTTGTGGCTTGCGTTGTTTTTTTTTTAAATTAAGAATCCACTTTGACTAAATCAATCAATAAAGTAATTTCAGCGAAAAACTTTTCCTTTGAAAGTCAATTGATGTGAATGGATTAGTAAGTAGATGTTTCACAGAGTCTTGATGAAATAAATTTTATAACTTAGCTCCCCTCCCGTTAAGCTGCAAAATGTGGGGTGACAGTTTTATATATAAGCTCAAAAGCCACATTTCCTACACAGTGAATCCAGCTTTGCCGTCAGTATGAACAAAAATTTACTTGTAGTGTTAATTGTCATAGGTATGTAGTTTTGTTGTTAAAATTTTCAAATTAAGAACTGTTGAATAGGCGTGGTGTGGGGCGAAGCACAGTCCTGCACATCATGTGGTTCCGAATGTCAGTCCGCATGTGGAACAAGACACTTCAGAACTTGCTGTTTCAATTACATTAAAAAAAGAAATTCGGATTCCCTGGCCGTGGATCCGAGTCTTCGCTTAGAACTATGGCTTGCGAAATCGAGAAATCCCTATTTCCAACGAAATTTTCTGGATTCCTTCCTTGAACTACCTGAAAGCGTCAATCAGGATCACGATATGACACAGTAATTTTTTTTTAAATATCGTTCAAAATTGTTTAAATTATAGATGTTTACCGTATTTTGGGCTGGGTATTAAAGGATTTACGTAACTACGTCCTATATCATTTTTCCCATATCCACATTTGAATTAAATAAATAAATGAAAAAATGACAAATATTTAATTCTGTTATAGCTATAGTAATACAAAAACTAAACTTACTACAACAATGCTTAACTGTAGCAGTCTGTAACAAACACTAATAAATAATATAAATATACTTAAATACATGAGAAATAATCCAAAAAACGAATATTCAATTTTAGACACGTTAATTAGGTTCGTGAACACTTCGCAATATGTTGAAAATTTTCTTGCACTTCTCATTCTCTAATAATCGAGGTTCACATTTTTGAACATTCTCTATACACTCCAGAAAGTTTTCAATGTTTGATTTTACTAACCGCTCGTAGCAATCCAATATGTCTACATTAGAATGAAGATTTTGACTATTTGCTGGTTGTATTAAAACGTTTGAAATGATATGTATCTTTTTATCGATTTTAATTTCTTCAACTGAAAGTTCATTAGGATTGTCATCTTTATAACGTTTAGTATTTGTGTCTGTTAGAAACACACTTTTCCTTTTCTGGCACTTCTTCACAGCGTCTCCAAAAGGCTCCATTGATTCAGAACTTGAACCCATTGGGACAGCCTTTTTATTCTTCTTCGACTTCTTTATATATTTTTTGTTTTTCTTCACTTCACGGAGAGTCTCTCTAAACGATTCCAACCTTTTCGAGTTTTCTTCAAGTATTATCTCTGTTTTAGTAAGATCTTCCTTTGTTAGTGCTTTTGGGGTACTTGTTACTTTGGCAGGCCTGCCCCTTTTAGTTTTTACTGTTTTTGATTTTCTGGATCTGGATCGTGTCCGTTTGAGTCCGGGTAGAAGTTTCACCTCGGGTTTCGCAGTCAAATATTCATCAGTCATCTGCGCCTTAAGATAAGACAAATCTCCCGGAGAATAAAGTTTTCGTTTTGTTATTGATTTTACATTTAAGTCTTCTTTAATATCTACATTTTGATTATTTTGTCTACGCTCCTCTTCCATAATAGAACCTTCATTATCACTATCTGAACTAATATTATACTTTGGCGGTGATTTTTCGACATTATTGGATGACTTAATTTCCTTTTTCGGTTCTAAATTTTTCATTTTATCAAAAATTGAATCTTTCAAAATGACCCCACTTGAAGTACTTGAATCAGAGTCTTGATCCTCAAGCTTTTGGCGTAACAAATCACGAGTCGGAATTTCTCTTTCTTTATTCCCTGTTTGGATTTCAACTTCATTATCTCTATTCTCTGAGAATATTTTTGAAATATTTTCCTCCACCTCATCTTGGATGTGTATTTCATTGTTTCTATCTGATGCTTTGTCAACAAACTCGGGCGTTTTCTCTTTTTGGCTAGACAAAAAGCGTGATAAATCACGAGTGTGTATTTCTCTTTCTTTATTCTCTACTTGTATTTCGACTTCATTATCTCGATCCTCTGAGAATATTTTTGAAATATTTTCTTCCACTTCATCTTGGATGTGTATTTCATCGTTTCTGTCCGATATTTTATCAACAACCTCCGGCGTTTTTTCTATTTGGCTAGATAAAATGCTTAACAACTCATCAGTATGGATTTTACTTTGTTTATTTTCTGCTTGTACTTCAAGTTCATTATTTTTATCGTCTACAAATATTTTTGAAATGTCTTCTTCCACCTCTGCTGATATTTTTGAAACTTCCACTTCCTTTTCCTCTTCAAGGATTTCAGTTTCATCATTTCTGCTAATTTCTTCTGGTGATTTCTGGTTATTCTCATCAAGATAATTATTGTTAATTTCTGCTGCTGATATTTCTTCTTGGACTTCACTATTCACATCAAAACACTCACTCTTTTCCAATGTATTATCCTCCTTATTTTCCTCCACCATCTTTGGTGTTTGTTCTTCAACCACCATTTCCATATCCACTTCACCAGTTTTTTCAGAAACATCACTAATTGCGGAAGAAATTGGTAAGACTGAGTCAGGGTCTATAACAATTTTTTCTTTGAAAATTGGAATTTCTAGATTTTTCTTTTCTGTCAAAACCGGATCAACATTGACACTTTTCAACCAATCTTCCACCTTTGATACTGAACAGGATTGACTTGTTTCTAAAACTTCCTCCAACTCATTTGCTTCTCTTACTATTTCAATTAGGTCCTTTTCTTTACCTTTTCGCTTTTTGGAAACAACCGGTTTCTGTAAAAAAATCATTTTTTTAAATTCAAAACAATACATATATTTTAGTTTCAGCTTACTTCTACAATTTTTACAATCGGAGAAGTCAAGCTCGATGACACTTTATGACCTTTTTTCTTTTTTAATGATGGTATTTTCTGTTTAGGTGAATCCCGCCTTGAGATCTTTTTTTTGGGTTTTCCAACTACTGATTCCGAAAACGACTACAAGAAAGTATTAATTCCGTAATCTTTTACGTAAAAATTAAACTTACGACTGGAGTAACGGATTTATTGAACTGGATGACACTGTCAATGCGTTCAATTATGGGGTCTCCCACACGGGTTTTTCGTGTTTTGACCATGCCATTTTTATGTTTCTTCTTTTTCAAGTTATCTCGTGTTGCTTCTTTATCATCTATTGGCTACAATCACAAAAAGCAGCAAAAATAGACAGCGGATAGATCCAGTGTACACTTACTGCGTAAATACGATTTTTGTTTTTGTCAGTTTTATTTATCGTATTATCGTCCTCATCATCCGAAATTAAGATGAAATTTTCCAATTCAGGGTCGGTATGAACAATTTGCTGCAAAAATTCAGATTAACAAGTATGTGCAAAGATTTTTATAAAACATTACTGAATCTAAAAATTTTTGTTCAGCTTTTTCTCTTGTTGAAATTTTCGGTCTGTTTATTATAAAACAATTAAGAACAGCACTGGAATTAGCACTTTGGAGCGATATATCGGCAGTTACTGAAGAATCATTATCCTGCAACTTATTTCATACAAACAGTTCTATATGAGATTAACATGTAAACCAATACTTCTTCTGATGGAAATTTTAGACAATCGATGGAAAAAGTATTTGGAAATATTTCCGGAAGGACCTTTTCTACTAATATCTTGAAGCTTTCAGAACACTGCGATACTGATATTTCCAAATTACGAACAGTATCAAACTTTGGGCTACATGATACATTAAACACTGAATTTTTCAATTTTATAGATATGTCTAAACATTTAGCATTCAAGTTGTGATTAAAATCCACTTTTAGGACGTCCCGTGGACAGAACGACAACACTTCCCAACTTGTTTTCAAAAATGGTTTTATTTTAGTCACAGATGTGAAAAAACTTTTCGAACAAAAAAACGATATCTTTTCTTCGAGTAGATTAAAGTCAAGCCAGATATTATCGGTGGCCGCTGCCATCTAAAAGTAAAAATATAAAATTATGTAATCAAAATTATTAATTTTGTTGTTACGCTGAATTCCTCAACTGGCGTTAGATCCAATGCAATGCTGCTACAGTTGATAGAAAATATATTTGTTCCAGATTCATTTATCTTGTCAAGTACCATTCTAATATTTTGATAGATACTTTTTTCGTCTGTAGATGTAATAGATGGAATTAGAACTTGCATAATTTCCGGAAAAAATTTTTCAAGAATTACGTTGAGATCATGAAATTTAAAAAGTTTGAAGAGCACATTAATAATAATGGCTTGCGTTTCTATATCTCCAGTGTTTTTAACAACATCGTACCAAATATAACTACAACAAAACGAAATTATTAAACGTCCCATTTTATATCATTGGTTATATACAATTTTTTATGCTTAGCTGATAATTTTTCGAAAATATCACTTGAAACTTCATCCAAAATGTGTGAATAAATTCGAAAATATTCTTTAACGTTACTGTTTAAGGGATCACTTTCCAAAATGGTATCTATAACTTTGGCAAACTTTGTTATTATGCTATCATAAATTTGCGTTGAATCTACAACAAACTAAATCTCCTTGTTCTAAGAGAAAAACTAAAAGTTTATTTATCATACCAAGAACACTTCCAATGCTAACCTAACAGAAAAATGTTTCTGGGCCATTATACTTTCAAATTGTTTTGCATATTTGTTCAATAGTACAAAAAATATTAAAACACTATCTAGAAACATTCTTACTTCGGATGTATTCATGTAAAACTTTGCAAACTCTTTCAAAATGTTTGAGACGTTTTTAATATCGTATTCTTGGATTGGTTTTTCCAAATCCTACAATTGAAAAATTTGAAATAAATTGATACGTTTAAAACACTAATGAACGATAACTTACCAATATTTTAGACATTGTATTTTTAAAATGATTCAACAAGTTTGAAAAATCCATTTTGATTTAATAATTATTTATTACATTGTAAATTAAAAGTGACGCGTTAATCTTTTGTTGACATTTTTGACTTGTAAAAAAAGCCCTCTTGATTTTTTTTACTCCACCACTATTCAGAGGACATGATCTTCACAATAAAAAAAGACCAAGAAAAAGGTATCAAAAATATTAATAGAATACGGCAAATTGCTTTAGAATATCATAAATATATTTCTCAAATTATTTGTTTCATTTAATTCTACTTTATAAATTTTATGCTGCGATGATAATATTGCGGCCGATATGACCGACTGCAGTATGTCAACAAAATTCAAAAAATACTCTTATTTTTGGTTGTCGGTTACTTGTGCTTTAAAGAAGGTAAGAAACAAAATAATTTTCTTATTTTTATTTACATCAATTTTAAGTTCTGAACAACACAAATATTATATAACAATTTATCTTGCAATCTATTCCATACAACATTGTGACAACTTTGAATATTGGTTAAATAATTCCTCAACGTCTCTTCAGTTGCAATAACTGTTCCATGTGATTTTAAAAAGACACCAAGGTACGCTTCCGCTAATTCAAAGTCTTTGTTGGATTTCAATATAAATTCAATACTCTTCAGAAACTGTAACATGACTTCAATTGAGCCTCCACCTTCAGGAGCCAAAGACTTTATTTCAAAATCAATCATAGACGGACCAAATGACTTTAACTTTTCAATAACGTGACTGAAATCGTCGTCTTGTCGCGTTTTATCCAATAATTTCCCAAATTCGGTTAAATTCAATAAAGTCGCTGGCGTCAATATTTTACTACTGCTTTCAGACTCAAGCTTTGACAAATCGAATTGGAAATTCAATGATGAAACTGTCGGTAAGAAAAACGGTGCTGCTTTAGGTGCCTTAGGTGGGGATTTGGGCTTATTCCTCTTCTTGATTACATCCAAATTCAACAAATTCTGCCACCTTGATGCGGCAAATCCCGATAAAGTTACCAAATCGTTGCTAATTTGTTCAGGCGATATAAATTCTAGTTCATCAGATTCTTCTACGTCACTTTCCTCTTCGTGGTGCTCTCTGAGACACTCAGGGAAAGCCACCAATGGCGGCTCAACGCTTGGTGTCAAAGCTTTCAGAGATATTTTTGAGTACATAGTTCGATTTGTCCACAGGAAAATCCCTAAATAGTCGACATGGGCCGTAGCCAGAACTTCTCCGGTTGGCGAAATATCCAACGAAACGCATGCGACCTCTGTACTAAATTCGTCCACTAAATGACACGAAGGTATGTCCCAAGTGCGTATGGAACAATCCATTGATGATGTCACCAACCAACGGGAATCAGGGCTAAACGTTGCGTCGGTTATTTGAGCCGTGTGTCCCACGAATTTTCGTACAATTCGTCTTGTATCAATATCTACTATGTAAACATCAAAGTCTTCAAGGGCAACTGCCAACATTGAGCTTTCTGAATGCGATCGAAAGAAACTGATCGGTTCTTCTAATGCTAAGACAGTCAATGGATTGGCTCCTGAAAATAGAAAATTTTATATTGGATTATACAAAGAAAAAAATTAAACACACCTTTGTTTTTAAACTTCCAAAATTTTATTTTACAATCACTGCTACCACTTATTGTCACTTGATTTAAAGGATCGGTTGCTATTCCTCTGACAGATGAATCGTGTGCTTTTGGGGTACCGTAATTATCGCGCCAAATGCCCGACTGCATGTTAAACCTGAAAATGAATGAAAACAACTAAACTATATTGAGCCACAAAGATTTGTTTCTTACAATCACTCTTTTTTGACTATTCAGGAATTTGAATGAAGTAATTTTTTTAACGTTTTTTTGTTATTTATTATGCAATAATTTGCGTTCTCTTTTAAAGTTCCATGGAACATGAAATTTAAAATTTTAAAGTATGTGCAAATATTTTAACAAGTAATAATAGAACTCAAAAGAAATCAAAATAACATAACTTACCTTAACCGAATATTTCTGAGATATAGAGGGTGCAACCTCCACTTTGGCGTCGGAAAAATTGTCAAAAAAGTCAATATAAACGAAGTTTTAATCTTTCAGTACTTTATCCCAACGTTTACATAGCTAGTAGTCGGTAACATATTTGAGGTAATGAAACTCGGTGCTATCTTCAACAAAATGGTTACAAAAATGGTAACAAAATGGTTACCGTTTTATGATTTTTTTATACAGGACGATTTTTAAAAAGCGGCAGGCGCTGTATAATTTTAATTCATTGCCTGATTTCAAAAGTTTAAAAAATAAATTAAACGGCTTTAATACAGTATAAGCTGACAATTTTAGAATTTTTCTAAATGTGATAGTGTACAAAAAGGTATTAGTTTTCTTGGTACAGACATGAGCAATATGTTCTACTTGTACTAAAAATTATTGTTTAAAAAAATAAATCAAAGTTGAAAACAAAATTATAAAAATTAAAAAAATCTAGTTGCATGGTGACAAATAAGACAATGACATTATTGTAATGTTTAGAAGCAGCAAATGAAAGAAAATATTGCCAAAATTTTTTCAAACTTTTAATAAAAAATGACTAATAATTACCTATTAACTACCTAACATTTTTTTTCACCTGTAATAATTTTTTTTAACAATAATTTTTAATAAAAGTAGAACATATTAACATATGCAATGTCGGTGCCAAGAAAACTAATATTTTCCAAAATATGAAAAAAAAAATTAATCCCTACTTAAAATTACAAAGTTAAATACAGCCCAAAATATACCGACATTTAGAAAAATTCTAATTTTGTTAGCTTATAATAGCTTACACACCAAACTTTTATTTTAATAGCACAACGCGTTTCGACCACAAAGTGGTCATCCTCAGGTGAGAATAAAACTAACTAATTTAACAATGGTAATGCCTTATATACTAATTTT